TGAAAATCAATAGAAAACCAGAAAATTCCGGTAAATATATTCATGAACGATTTAGGGGGGAAAAACCATGAAATTTCAGATTTCCCTGGAAATTCAATGTAATTGGGCAGTGAATATCCATATTAGAATGAAAATTCAAATAAATTAAGGAATTCCCATCTTCATGCTGCTTAAAATTCTGGAATTTTACAGAATTTTCAGTGAAACCTGAAATTTCATGATTTTTTTCTCTCAAATCGCATTCAATGTCACTGTCCTGAAAATTACTAGTCAATCGTCCAGGAAATTTCATTTTGTTTTCTTACAGTGCAATGGGCAGTCGACTTAATCATTATTCCCAAGGTTTCCACTCAAACCCCTTCAAATACTGAGATATTAGAGAAAACACACTAAGAAAAAAAATTATAAAATTTAGGAATCGAGTCCTTTCTTTTAGGAAGCCGCTGTTTCAAAATTTACCGAGAGAAAATACAAGAATCAAGGGATTTTGTCACTAAATTTCAGTGACAAAATCCTAAAAATTAGGGACAACAGTTATAATTTTTGGTGGTATTCAGATTAAATTTTAGGGATTTCCCGCTATAATTTACGAACAATTCACATAATTTTAACGGATTATTTCCTTAAAATGTAAAAATTAATGCTTCCTAAAATTAAGGTACATCAGTGGTAGAACATAGAAATTTCCGATTTTGTTTTGTGATTTGCAATTGCGAGGATTTTTCCGGTGAGTCCGACAGTGGGTCACCTTTGATTATTAATTATTTCAGAAACAAAATACTGAAAATTTAAAAAAAATTAGTGCAGTATCTAAAGATCGGTTCCAATTTCCTACACAAATATGTAAACAATGTCATCATTATTTATTTTTTAAATGAATTCCTCAATCTACGGTGGTCTTCGATTTCACATGCCTTTGGGATTCTAAATTTTTGTGACAAAATCCTTAATTTTAGGTGTAATTTCAATCAATATCAAGAATCCGTAAAATTTAGGGATGAATTCCTAAAAGCTAGAGACCAATTGCTAAAATTTAAAACTTTTTTTCTCAGTGCAGCAGAAGTAACTATTCCGTTAATTCTTAAACAAAAATAACAGATGACTGACAGTCGTCGAATACATTTTCGCCGTGCATTTTTAAAAGCGATGAACGCTTTTTCAGAATGTCCTAGAAGTTGGCAGAATCGGCCACAAACAATAAAGGGGGCACAATAATAAATGAGCAAGGATACATAATTACCAGGTTATCATATCACTCTACAACAACAAGCCATGGAAACTAACAATTGAAGTACAATCCTTATCATGTTGATAAGGTCCTCAGTTACATGGTAAGACAAAATATAATAACTCCGATATTACTTGTTCACAGGCAGTTTTTCATTGGACTCATACCACGAACGATCTGCGCTCAAAAACCGAAAACTGAGAAATCGATCTATGAGACAAAAATCCACGACTATGAGAATTCTATTTGTACTGGGTCTCATTGCGACTCAATACCATGTGCATTGCCAGCTGACAATAGTTGTTGACTTAATCAGCTTTGCCTGGTCTGCATTAGAAAAAGTGAACGCCGCTCATGATGCGTACAGCAAATTAACAACTCCTTCAACCGCTGATATAATGGAAAAAACAAATGAAATAGCTGCTTCAATTGACAAGCTGGGGACTAGACTGGAGGAAAAAATACAGCAATCAATGGACACACTGTTAACTCTCTTACCACTCTTGGGTGACATCAGTGCTGATGTGCGATTACTGAACAGTTATATCACAAGAGTTGATGAACTATATGCAGATATGCATGATTATTTGAAGAATCCGAAAAGCTTCAGTGATTACGCATTGGATGCTCTAGTGAAGACATGCACCTCTCGCGATGAAGGTGATGTACAGGACCGAATTGCTCTGATTTACGGCCTGCTTATTCCAACAGGATTGGGAACATTCAAGGAAAGTTTGTTCGTTCTTCTAGCTAAGGAGACACAGGTAAATATTTAATAGTTTTTATCTTAGCACTCGGGTGTATGAACATGCATGGATCTCAATGCAGGAAAATGCGCTGAAAGTATGTGGCACAGGGGCACCACCTCAACAACGTCTTGTCGAACTATTTGAGATTGTTATGGAAACGGAAATGAGAGGCTTCGCGCTGCAAGGCTTTGGTGGCTTGATGAAAGGTTATTTGGATGGCCGTAAGTATCATAGAAATATGTTTTATGGCTAACTTCGTGACGATTGAAATTTCAAATGCCTTAAGATAAGACGTTCCGTTTGAAAATAGGTGGTTAATAGACAAGGGCTTTTGATAATATCTTGGAATGCAAGTCACCAAGTTTAAGACATTTTTACCATCTCAATTCAAGACACTTTAACAGCGGCACTACAACAAGCCATTAAACCCATTATGACCTGGAATTATCAGACTTGAAAGAATTGAAATTGAATTGATTGATTGACCTATCGTGGATATCAAAAGTGGAAAGATAGCATATAGCATCGCTCCTTCATAATATGCATATACTAAGGGACTGCCCCCTGCTCGCTCCGCTCTCCAGCCCACATACGACCCCTATGATCCTTATTCTGACCCTCATGACCCTCATTATGCTCCTCGTGGCTTTTATTTTGACCCTTCATTTCTGACCCTTAATTTTGAAGTATTAATTTCGAGTACCAAATTTTCGTCACCAGAAATCGATTTGAATTTTTATAATATAGAGAGACATTTTAACCCTTGTGACTCTCAGTTTCCGGCCCCCATGACCCTTATTTAGGCCCTTAATCTGACCTTTGTGATCCTTAATCTGACCCTTGTGACCATTATTTGGATCCTTAATCTGATCCTCATTATAACCCTCGCGCCCTTTATGCTGGCCCTCATGACCCTTAATCTGACCCTCGTGAACCTTGTTCTGACCGTCGTGACCGGTATTCTGACCCTCATGATCCTTATTCTGATCCATGTGGTGATTTTCATCATCAGAAGTCAATTTAGATTTTTATAATATAGAGAAATATGTGAACCCTTGTGACCCTCAGTTCCTGACCCGCACGGCCCTTATTTGGATCCTTAATCAGACCTTTGTGATCCTTAATCTGAGTATCGTGACCCTTAATCTGACCCTTGTAACCCTCAGTCTGAACCACGTGACCCTTACTCTGACCGTCGCAACCCTTATTTTGACCCTCGTGGCCCTTATTTTGATCCGTGTGGTGATTTTCATCACCAGAACTCGATTTGTATTTTTATAATATAGAGAGATATGTATGATTGTATTATGGCCGAATAATCGATTAGTAATAAATTAAACTGTTGAATCGAAATTTGAAAAAATGAATGAATTATTTCGCGAAAACAAATGAGACATGATATGCTTGAATCAAAAGACCTTCGAGTGAGGCATCTAGAATGTCTAAAATACATGTCTTAATGCCTTCATTTGAGACACTAAAAATGACTTAAATTTGGGACACAAACGTCTTAACCCTCTAATGCTGCTCTGATTGTCCCCACTTCGCCGTTTCTCCGTACCCTAGTAGAAATTGTGAGAGGCTCTGCGACATTGGCTGTTGCAGCGAGTCACTGCTGGAATCCTACGCGACACAGACGCAGTGCGCTCCCTTTTTTTCTTTTTATCGATAATAATAATCATCAATTAGTTGCGAGAGATTATTATTCACTAGCAAATAGTTAATCCTTCAATAACTGATGTGAATTAGTGCGCATAATCTGAATATTGTGAATTTTTAATTGACGGGATTTGAGGTTAAGGCGGACACAGATAGGTCCATCTCGCATAAACCCCGCGGAGCCCTGTCTCAGCGACCCTGCTGCGTACCTTTAGTACTGAGGTACATTGCCGCGAAAGGCAACGTCGCGCGCCAACGTACGCCGCGACGTTTCTGCGCAATGAAATTTCTACTAGGGTAAGAATGCGTGGTACCTTCTCCGGCACCTCTCATGGCGTCTCGTTAGCTCATCAGCAGTACCCGAATAGAAATTTCATAGCGCAAAAATGTCGCGGCGTGAGTTGATACGCGATATTCAATGTTATAGGCACTTTGGCTCAATGTCGCCGAATTTCAATCAATTTCTATCAGTGAGAGGGTTAACAGAGGGGACAAAAGTGTCTCAATTTGTGACACTAGTTTTTTTAATGCAAGTTGAGCAGGTGATGGTGATTCTAGCATGTGTTTATTTCAGAGAATTATACCGGTGATATAGGGAGAGCTCAAAATAAATTAATCCAAAGAGCCCAGAAATACGTGAAATTGCTCCAGAACACTATGTCTATATCGGCAAGACAATTTCGGCGATGTGATCCACCTGGAGGTCATGAGCGAGGTTAATAATTACGATAAATCAATTGGAAATGCGTGACTCATCTTTACGCTCAATGTTTCCCTATTCCAGACGTCACTTACCATGAATTTGAAAAATACCTTCAAGTTTTCCTAGTTCAGGAAAATGCACTTCGTATAGATCATCGATGCCCGAATAGTTGTTCAGCATATAAGAATCCAACGCGTCTGTTTTACGGATGTAGGGGATATGAATGCACTTATTCGCCCACTACGTGCTATGGTAGACTTGTGCAGTGCAGTTCACTAGGCGAATCCGGACGTGCTTGTGAATATGACGTGAGTTCATAGTCTTCTAATACGTCTCATTCACCGAAATAAATACCACGTTATTTTAAGATTTTAAAGGTCTCAAAATAAGATTTTCAAAAGCCTTCATTAGAAGTTTGAACGTCTCAATTTGAGACTTTTAAGTGCCTCAAGGAAAGACTTTCCGAACTAAACTTGGAATTTGTAATTTAAAAGTCTTATTTTGAGATAATAAATCTCAAAATGAAGCTTGTTTTTTGGTGTCCCTCATGGAAAACTTTTAACGATTGTAAAAACTTTAGGGTTCACTACCAAAAAGATATAAATGGTACAAAAGCCATAGTGGCAACGTGTATGGTGATGATTCGGATGGCTGTCCAGCACCGGCCTCGAAGACATATGCCTTCAAAGTTACGGTGGAAGAGATTCGTTGTGACCTATGCAGATGCATTTGCGTAGAAGATGAACCACAATCGAAGTCGAGACATTTTATAAGTCTGCGTGACCAAGTAACAAACGTGGATGACAATATGTTGAGTTCATTTCTGTATTTCATTACTGAACGCGGTGTCCAGATCACGAAACGTATTTGTGAGAAGTGTTACTTTTGCCAAGGGATTATTTTCTTGGAAGAAGAACTTTTTTTTTTAAGCGTTCCAACCTTCTTTATGTTTCAATTTTTTTCAAATTTAAGATTTTCTTATGTAAAATAATTTAGAATAATTCTCAATGTTAATAGTGATGCCGCGAGACACTTTAGGAGACAAAACTTTGGAGAGATGATCTCGGTCTCAGTGAACATGTAAATCTTTGCTCTGGTCTCAGTCACGAAATACGCAGCATCCTCTCCTTTCGTGATGACTTTGAGTCAATTTATCTCATCTCGGTCTCAAGTTTTGCGTATTTGTTAACGTAAAATCTAGGTTTTTGACTCGGTTTTTCTACATGTAAAAAACGCGAAAAACTGGAAACCGAGATGAGATAAATTGACTCGGAATCATCACGAGAAGACTCGACTCTGTGTATTTCAAGACTTAGATGAGATAAAACATTTCCGTGTTCGCTGAGCCCGAGACAATCCCTCCAAAGTGTTGTCTCGTGATGTCTCGTGAAATGTCTCGCGGCATCACTAAATGTTAATAATTGTCAATGGAGTTCATTCAAGGTCATAATCATCTCATAATTCAACATAATTGTAATATTTGGAGATGGACATGGACCACGTGGGAATGACTGGCCTAGAAAAATAGGCTCCTAAAAAAATAAATTCTTCTCACAAGAAAATTATTCCTTGGCAAAAGTAATCTTTTCTCTCAGTGTGGGTACCTAAACATTAAAACTTCGTTCACTCTGTGATTCTTCATGAAAACTACTTGACAGGGTCATCACTGGAATGGCATTTGTGATGGTAAACGACATTGCGCACATCAAAATTATGCAGGGACAGATAACATCGGGAGCCCAAATTGTTGAAAATACTACAGCTTGGCTGGAGCCAGAAGACATTCAATACATACCACCAATGGATTCATCACAAATTAAGTTTAACTTTGTCAAAAAGTCTGAAGACGGCGAAGACGAAGAGCTGATGGAAAATGAGGATATTGCGGTTTTATCGTACGAAGAACAAAAAATCTATCTGGATACGTTAATTGTACCACCGGAACATGTTATTACCGGTGAGAAAAATTAATTACCAATTGAGTAAGAGAAACTACATACATTTTTTTTGTCACACCTACACGTTTGATCGCCCATTATGTAGTCAGCTGCCGGGGCTACAATCTAGCCCGAACTTCCTTGGGAGTTTTTTGTTATGGTCATCTGCGCATATGCCTGCGCATAACAACACGCTCGTTCACCACCAGCCGTAATTTTTGAGTACTAAAGATTATCTCGATTCTACCTAACCCCATAACCAACAAAACAGTAAAGTGAAACAAATAGCTTTTATATTTATTCATATTTCTTTCCTACTACCATTACGGTTTTATAGGCTCCCCATTCATCTGCCTTGCCTCTCCCACTTCTCTCCTCTGATTTTTCTGCGTTACCATGGGCCATCTTACTCTTAACTGTACCCCATTCGGGCTAGGACTGCAAGGGAAACCGTGGAAAAACCCCAGTCGTACAGCCGGCCGATAATGCAGGGATTCCACTGTGTCCATTGGTCACACTGACTCAATGGGCACAGTGGTTCTCTACATTCGTACCTAGCGACTGGAAAAATAGGAGTAAAGTATTCCACCGCATCGCCAATCAATCTATCCCCAGTACTTCGAATACTGTAAACTCTACCAATCAAGCGCCCCTGAAGAGAGTATTAACTGAAACTAATGGTAATACTCCACCTGCTGATAATATCAATAATAATGCATCCATACTATCAAATTGCACCTTGCAAAATATGCTAATCAATAATATCCACACCCAAAATGTAAATAATGCATCATAAGTTGAACTCGTAATCTCTTTTCAACAAACTATATTCTACATTTTATAATGAACTAATAAAAAAAATGCCAGCACGATTTGTGTTTTTAATCTGTGGCATTACTTGAATTTTTATCGGCTTCGCTTATCTACATACTTCTACTACAGACTATGTGACGGTCATCTAGAATACTCTCAGTTCATATTCTAACTGACAATTCTCAATGTTTACATGATTTTATCTACTTCTATTCGTTGAATAATTGTGCGAAAAATTCGTGACAGGTGTGACAAAAAATAGTATATGCCACGCGGGAGTTTGCGATGACACTTTTGACGAGGGGTTTATGTTGCCCGAGCTGAAGGCGAGGCCAACATAACCCTGACTATTTTACTCCTGTACTATACCCCCTGCACTATTTTAGGTGTAAGATTTCAGCGATATACATGGGAGACGCGCCCCATCTACTTGACTATACGCGCAACACGTTACGATAGTGAGACAGGCCAGCTAGTGCCTGACTCCACCATTTGGATTAAACCCACAGACATGCCGTACGCAAAGGCGCCGATTAGGTATTTGTAGAAAATTTTTCACTTCGATTGAGGAGATTTTTAGATTTTGTCTGTGATTAGTAGTAGATAAATTCTTTCAACCCATCGTACAATGCTGACAATTTTATCTTAAGGGAAAACGGAACCCCTGCATTTATATGAATCTTTAGAATTGTGTTTTCTCCTGCAATTATTATTTTTCATTCATGAAACTACTTTATTGACTCAACAATGCGATAATCGAGCCGATAAAGTAATTTCATAGATAGAAATTAATAATTGTAGGAGAAAACACATTTCTAAGATTTGATGTAGACAAAGGGGTTCTGTCTCCCCTGAAGGCCCGGGTGGATTATCTTTCGAACGTTTACTCGATTGTTTTTCCATCTTCATAATGTAAAATATATCACAATTTCCAATGAATTTTACATCACGCAGGAATTCCTAAAAATTATGATTGTACAATCAAAAAAAGTAGAGAAAAAACTAAACATTTTCAAAGAGCGTTTTTAACCCTCTGACTCGCAAATCGTACGAAACTGTATCGGTGTGATTGCTGCCAATCACAGCACACCGCGCCATGTGTTAGTGAGAAATGGTCACGTGACTATTCCCTCACTCTTGTCGCGTCAGGACCGTTATAAGCATTGCAACGCTATTAGGGCCCTCTACATATTCTCACGTAATATGTAATGGAAGTTTTGATAGATAGACAACAAATAATGAGAGATAAAAGAGAAAAAATGCCAGTGATAAAGAGTCAGTGCCTAAAAAATAAAAAAGAATGAAAGTTCATTGAGAAGTGTATGTGGAGGTCCTGGTAAATACGTGAAAAAAAGAAAGATGACTTAAAATTGTGAAATGAATACAGATAAATTTACAGCAAAGATAAAGAAAAAAATTGATGAAAAACTAGAACGAAAATAGTCTTCAAATATTGAGATCTATCCAGTGCCAACATTTGTTGAAAATCGAGGTCCTGCTCATGATTTGGAGATTGACAGCAATGAAATGTGTTATTTCAAATTGCTTCTTTTATTCCGTAAATTTGTTTCATCCTTTCAAGAATTTTTATATTTGGGCCTCATATTCAAACGTGCACTTACAATTAGTGCTACGGCACTGTTCTCGCGCTCGCAACTCATCCCCTTTCACGTTGAACGTTCGGTCCCCATAGGTAGTGGGGATAAGATTGCGAGTCAGAGGGTTAATAAAGATTAAGAAATAAGTCCGATAAAGAGGAAATAGTGAATGGATAATTTATCATGGTAACGAACGATCTGACAGCCATTAGCTACTGTAACAATTGACGACCTAACAGCCGTTAGATACATCAAATTATTAATTTGCAATTTCCTTCCTACCCGGAGAGAAATATTCAGTAAAAATTACGAAACAATTCACGTAATCCACAATGAGGAATCGATTTCTGGCAATTTTTATAGGAATGGAAGAGAAGAAATCCGAAATGTTCAGTGAATTTTCAGGTTCATCACCGAACAAAGTACGAAATTGTCACGTAATTTTTCCCGAAGAAGTAAAATCTTACAGAAGCTTGCCGACTTATTATACCTCCAAAATGAAAAATTCTTGAACGTTCAACAATTTTTATGAAGCTGGGGAGTTATTTCTACGTTCCGTTCCGTAAAATTTCTCAATCGTTGGGGAAAAATTACGGAACGACTTGTTGTCCCCACAGCGGTGAGTCATCAGACGGGTGGTTAATTTTTACGGAACAAATCGTAGAATTTACGTGGCGACTTGCACAAATTCAGTTCCGACCCACACTTTTTATTGAATTTCACTTCGCTCACGGATTACGTTTCGAAGCGTAATTTTTACGTTTTTTTCTGGTAATTTTTATTGAATTTTTCTCTCCGTGTATCGGGTTATTTCCCAATATTATTCAAAAACGCTCTCTGAAAATGTTCAGCTTTTTTTCAACGTGTTTTTGATTGTACAATCATAGTTTTTGGAGACTCCGGGGCTATATGTAAAACTGAATAGTAATTGGAAATCATTTTGGATTATCAAAATAAAAAAAACAGCCAAGATCACGTTCGAAAGATAATCCACCCGGGCCTTAAATTGCCAGGACACTTCTTGGAAATTTTTCACAAAAGTAAAATATTTCCGAGTCAGCTGTATCATTCACTCCATGCATTGTTACTCGTTACGCCTTCTCGGTGTTAGTGTTAACACCGAAGTTATTCTTTACACCAAATTTTTAATGCCGCTACACGGAAAGAATATAAAATTATTACTATTATTACTTTCTGGGACACCGATTTGGTATCATAATCAACACCGAATTTTTTTACAGTGTACTAAATTCTCCATGAAATGTAATTTTCTTTTTCAAACGTAAATTATGGTTGTAATATAGGCATTACTACCGTTTTGAGGGATGGAAAAATCCGATATACTCGACCAATACTGCAATAGATTCGAAACCATATAACTGGATGGAAATGGATTGGACGAATTATGATGACGACGCGGGGCAAACAACGGTGCCTATACTGGATGCTCTTCCGGTGTTTTCCGAGCCTATTACTCCTTTATCAGGGGTTGGTATATACCAAAAAAGAGAAGTTGGTTATGCCGGAATTCTAACCCTCGTGCTGGAAGGGATCGACAAAAGTCCCTACATGAGAGTTAATATTTGAGACATTCTTCTTCTTCTGATCGTTTTGGTTATATCCTCTTACTAATATTTGAGACATTCTTGGATCCATACGTATGTAGTTATTTCCATGATGATGAATTTCAGTTGTGAATATGAACAATTTTATTCATTGCCATGTATATCATTGATATTTTGGACAAATAAAAAGTAACTGTCTACGAAAGTGTAATTTTCTTTGAAAAGTGTATGACATTGTTGCTAGTGTAGCTTCTTTTCAAATCCTATCTTGGCGAATAGTTGTAAGTTGTCATAAATGCGTGGCGATGTCTCAGAAAACGCCCGATTTTCTCAACTAGATTAGCAAAAAAAAAATTAATCACTAATAATTGTTCCCATGAATTTCAACTTTGATGAGAGTAAGAAATTGACCCATCAAATTCTTTCTTAAATTATTTTTTTAAACAATAGTCTCTCGTTTGATTAGAGTGTCTCGACATAACGCGCCATTTCAGAAATACAAATTGTTTATTACAAAAGTTTGACACTGACGATAATCATCATATTGGGCATAGACTTTTGATTTATTTTTATCGATTTTTGCTTCTGAATGAAAGCTTTGTAATCGTTCAAATTCAAGTAATGTAGGTATTGTTGAGCCCTATCGATCGCCATTAATTAAAATTTAATTCTTCGTTTGGTGTTTTTATCTTACAAATTTTTTTCGAAAATCGGTTGTCCCACGATAACTAAAAAAGATGTTCTGAATTGATTAAATGATGGCTTAAAAAATTGGTTTGGACGTCCTTTTGACCGAGTTCGAAGATGAAGGCGATAACAATAATCGTTATTTTGATTTTTACGATGATTGTTGAAAATTTCGAGTTTTTCATGAATTTCCCTGAAAGTGAGCTTTCTGACGGTTTGATTTGAAGAATCAAATGTGAAGGTTCAAATTCATTCAAGTATGTATAAATAAAATTTTTCTATTAACATTTCATCGAAGGGTTGAGAGGAGAGATAGAACCGTAAAAAAGACAATCGGTTGTATAAAAGAAAGGGATAATAAGAATAATGATGATGATGATGATGATAACATTCAACTAAGTTGAAAATCTGACAAAATTAGTTGAAAAGAAATCTTATTCAATCTAATAAAATGAAATAAACAACGAATTATGCACGATAGAAGGAAATGATGTGCAAATTAACCATTAATTTATGCAAAAATATTATAGTTAATACTATATGTAATTCAAGAGCTATTTCCCACTTGTTTCGTCTTCACGTGACTTCACGCGAAACATCTTGAAATAGGAACCTCGCTACGAACCTGTTCCTGTAAACATTTTACCTAGTAGTCCTTACGCCCACGACAGTCCTGTATAAACTGTTAGGTCGCGCCGATAATGTCAGTGGGTTTTATGTTTTTTGGGTCGCTGATCACGAATCTGTCGGTTATTTTTCCGAAAAATTGTCCCTTCAATTGTTATTAGCAATTTTAATTGTTTAAAAAGCTTTATCTCAGAAACTATGACAGGTATGAGAAAAAGTTTCAAACAAAAGATGTTTGACATGTAAAAATACTCATTTTTTGCTCTATACCTTTTTCCCCTAACTATGATAGATACGGCGTTATCGGGGGTGGCAGCGGAGCGGGCGGCGCGTCAGTACTTGCGCAGTGTTGGCGCGCTCCGATGCGTTTATCGGGACACTCGATGCAGATAGAGAAAAATAGTTGAAATGAGAAATATTTGCCATCAAATTTCCCATATAATTAATGTTTTGACATTTTTTCCTACAAGTAGTAGTTGACGAGATATTAACGCTATCATTCTGCGTGATCGGGGAAATTACCTATAACGCTTTTGTTTACTGCTGTTCCACGAGTAAACGATTCGAGATGCAGGACAAAATGTCGCATAAAAGTTGGTCCCCCATAAAAAATACAGGTCTTCTTAAAAAAAAAACACGCGTCTTCTTACCTTCGTACCGCGAAGATTTAATGTTGCTCCCTATTTGAGGGTCAATCCGCCTAGGCGTCGAACTAGTGGATAATTATCACGATTTAGTGAATTAATCATTATTCCTTGTTCAATAATTATTTGCTATATCATCATGAATTATACTGTTGAAAAAATTGTGCTGAATTTTTCAGAAAAAGGCCAATGGGATTTCGAGTTTCTTTCAAAATTTAAGTAAAGTTCCATTTTTTTAGCGAAAGCAGGATGGAAATTCCACAATTTATATGAATTTTCATGTGAAAATGAATATTCACTGCCAAATTCCCTTGAATTTCCCTCAAGAAATTCGGGGAATTCCAAGAATTTTAATGGAATTCCCCGAATTTCTTGAGGAATTCCCTGAAAATTCAGAGAAATCTCTCCTAGATTTTCAGATTTCTCTAAATTTTCAAGGAATTCTTGGAAACTCTGTTTTCATGATTTCTCTCAACTTTTTTTTAGAAAAATCTGAAATTTCAGGAGAGATTTCTCTAAATTTTCCTGATTTTTCATTGATTTCCCCTGAAATTGAATATTCACTAAGCAACTCCCTTGCATTTATAGAAAATTTCTTTAAATATTTTGGAATTCCCCGAATTTCTTAAGGAATTCTCTGAAAATTCAAAGAAATTTGAAATTCAAGGAGAAATTTCTCTGAATTTTCCTTATTTTCCATCAATGTTCTCCTGAAAATGAATATTCACTACTAATTTCCCTTGAATTTGCAAGGAAATTCCTTAAAAACCCTTAAAATTCTCTGAAAATTTAGAGAAATCAGGAATTCAAGGAGAGATTTCTCTGAATTTTCCTGATTCTCCATTAATTTCCCCGGAATAATTAAATAGAAATTTACAGTTGCCACGGATTTCTCCATGAAATTAAGAATTTCCAATTACAAAATTCCTTGAAATTTCAGTGGAAAATTTCCAACAGTCTATTCAGAATTGTTAATGCATTAAATGTTATATCACATGGCAGTCGTCTAAGTTAAGCAGCGCCCGGCAATATCGGCCGGCTGTACGACTGAGATTTCCCGTAGTTTCCCGTGCAGTACAAGCTCAAATGGGGTGCAGCTGACGAGAGTACGACGGCCCAAGGTAATGTAGATGAATATGAAGAGAAGAGTGCAAGAAGGGCATGAAGACAGACGAAACGGGGCGTCCATAAAATCGTAACAATAGTAAAAAGTAAATATGAATAAAAAATATATATGTTGCAATATCAACAGTTATGAAAATAATATGATCAAACTATGGAAATCTATAAGATAAATCCACTAACAATACAACAATTCATCCACATGATACTTCCATTCAATAACATGAGGATACCTCCAACCGTTTTCATACGCCACCGCAGTTCCTCCACTTGTACTGCTCCATCTATTACTTTAAATTGCTTCGTTCACGCTCACAGGGTATTTACCACCAAGCACTTTTTCACTCGATAATGGCACCGACGTCCGGAACGAGAAGTAAAGGTGAGACGCGAAAAATATATATGCGAAGCTATAGACTGTTGCCGGTGCATGAAAAGACGACGGGTACCGGCAGGCGAATGGTGTGTGACAATATTTGCCAAGTCGAAATTTACGTCCAATGGTGCAATTTGTATGGTGAAAAAGATACCCATCGAAGTTAATCTCTCGTCGACAATTTGTCAAGGTCAAAACTAATCAGGGATTTGCTGGGCACAATAATCGCACTATCAATTCTACAGCTATCGGTGCGTTAGCTATCGGTGAATATTACATGAATATTTCCAGCCAACAATGACGAATGACGAAAGTATACGAAAAATAATGAGAACCCAGCGCAAACAAGAGGGAAATTTCTTTCGTCATAACATCGTTAATATATTTTTTGTAATAAATTAGCTATTTGCTGCCAAGTGGAATTTTTATAACGACGTATTTTAAAGGGTATTCAATGATTCATTGAATTCAATATTGGTTCAATGCTGGCAGCCAACAGTACGTTAATGCTGGCAGTCAATATTACCTTAATGCTGACAGTCAATATTGCCTTAATACTGGCAGCCAATATTGCCTCAATGCTGGCCGCCAACATTGCATTAATGCTGGCGGCCACTATCGCCTTAATACTGGCAGCCAATATTGCCTCAATGCTGGCAGCCAACAGTGCGTTAATGCTGGCAGACAATATTGCCTTAATGGTGACAGCCAATGTTGCTTCAATGCTGACAGTCAACATTACCTCAACATTGCGCCAACATTGTGTTGACTGCCAATGTTGGCTGCCAACATTGTCGCAACGTCTGCAATCAATATTGCCCCAACGTTAAAACTTTTGATCTTTCCCTGAATATTGGTTTCAAAATAATTTTTTTCATCAGTAGATGATGCAATCAATCTCAAGATCGAATTCGGTAGACAAGTCATTGGGAAGAACATTTTAAATCACAATTGGGCTCATTTAAACAAGTATTTTTTCAGTTATCGTCGAAAAACGATAGGTCGCATACACAAATACATAACGTCATGGCCTAAAAATAGTATATTCAAACTGCTGAGGGCAAAATTAGTTATCCTTACACAAAAAATTGAAAATTTCGTATTTGACGAATACAATGCTACCATTCAGAAGCGAACAATAAAAAGGTTGAAAGCGTACCTCTCAGGTATAATCACTGATAAAAAGCGGCGTACACGCTTTTGAAATTTACGTAAATTATTTTGAAAGCATCTTGTAAAGTGGAATCTAACCACGGTGCTATTCAACCTAGACTGTGCCCACAGTGAGGTCAAGCAACAAATAAATTCCAGAGGCATCTCCCCTAGGCAAATAGATCCGATTAAATGAACGTAAACCAACCTGACCGCATATAAGCTCTCTCGGCGTCTTGAACCGGAGTAATTAATTTAATTACAACGATTGAAGGGTCACACCGCTCTCATTGACAGGGCCACACCGACATGAACGGCAATTATACTCGAATATATCAACGACAGAGTGGAATTTATTCTGATGGAGAACTCGAATCTTCTGTCAGCAGCTTTCAGCAATTCATGCCGACCAATTCATAAAGATATACGGTGTACACAGCCCTGAATCAATCAGGATTTGGGAACAATGGTGCTTCATGAGGGGGAGAGAAATGCGAAAGGCAAACCGATTTCACGTGGAGCTTCGGAGCCGATAACGGGTTTCCAGTTTCACGTTGGGATAATACAGGACTCTCACTCTCTGCTCTCGACGATAGG